TCTCGGCTCACTATACCCTCTGCCTCCAGGGTTCAAGTGATTCTCCTGCCTCAGCCTCCTGAGTAGCTGCGATTATAGGCATGAGCCACCATGCCTGGCTAATTTTGTATTTTTAGTAGAGGCAGTGTTTCTGCATGTTGGTCAGGATGGTCTCGAACTCCTGATCTTAGGTGATCCGCCTGTCTCAGCCTCCCAAAGTGCTGGGATTACAGGCATGAGTCACCGCGCCCGGCCCGGGTGTCCAATCTTTTGGACATATTGGCTTTCCTGGGCCACAGTGGAAGAAGAATTGTCTTGGGCCACACATAAAATACTAATGCTAACGATAGCTGATAAGCAAAAGAAAAAAAAAAGTCCATGCATAATTTTCATGATATCCGCCAGCACAGATAGGCAAAAAAGTTCTCACATTCAGAGGGTTGGACACCGCTGCTTTAGAGGGAACACCACGGAGACAGATGGCAGAAATATTTTTCAGTCATTTTCTCAATATGATTTCTACTTTCAAGGGGGAAGCCCTGTGAAGACCAGATAACTTAATAAAGATGAAGTGGAAAGATGAGGTTTGGACTAGACACTCTGGGGTTTGAATCTGTCTACTGTCACTAGCTGTGGAATCTTAGATAAGTTATTTAGCCTAAATCTCCATTTTCTCATCTGTAAAATAGGGATAATATTTATTTCATAGGATTATTGGGAGGATTAGCAATACCATATATAAATAATCTAGCACCATGCCTAATACAATAATGGGTGGTCAAGAAATGGTAGACGTATACTAGTTATTACCATGACGTTTTCCTTAAAATACAGAGCACCAAGGAAATATCACATTTTCAAAAATGCCACTATCATAAATGTCTTTAAGAAAAACAGTGAGAAAGCTTACTGATATGAACAGAATGGTTGCTGTAGCTGTAAGCAAGACAGCGTGTCCAGAATCTTTTGTGTTAGTTTCTAAAGAACATTAATCAGTGGGATCGCGATGTGCTTTTAAGACATACTGTGGTTTCAATGACAAATTTCATATACAAAATAAGAGAAGGAACACGAAGCCTTTAGCTTTGCCTTTATGAACTTTATAAAACATTTAATATCACCAGTGGGCACGTCATGTTCTAGTAGCTGCTAAACAAGATTGGCTATTCGAAAATGATTGTTGAACAACTTCTATAATCTACCAAAATGGACATATTGACCAGTAGACTGGGATTAGTTCTGAGGTTCCCAGTTATTTATAAACGTTTGCTCTGTTCTCCAATCCCAATGGAATAGAGCAATCCAAGATCATTTCAAATGAAAAGACATAATTGGGGATAGTAGTAGCAGATAGAGCAAGGTGTTGAGTAGGCTCAGAAATGAGATGACTCTTGTTGAACAAAGTCTACAGATCATGAATTTTAGGCAGATTTACAAATAAGGATAGCACATGCTCTGTAAATAGCAGCTGTTGCCACAAGCCAAAGGGCAATATTTACATGAATCCTGTGGCAAGGTCTGTTGACCAAGCATCGACCTTTCCAGCCAAATTCATATACTTGGTAGCACTTTCAGCCGCGTCATCTCAAAAAGGAAGGATTGTATTATACATGCATGGGAAATTGCCAACGTACAAATATGTTCTGCCCCCAAATAAATTTCTAAATTCTTTTTTTGGAACTTGGAACACATGTCCCCACCAAAAAAAGGTGTTATAAAGGGATGTGAGTTTCCCAGATTTCCTCACAAAAGTGCATTTAACCCACAATGTAACTGAAATAATGTACACTGGCAATGAGAAATACAGTGGAACAAAGCTGACTTGAAAGCAGGAACACACCAATACATGATAAACATTTCTTGAGCTCTTCTCCTTTGCAGCCTCATGCAACAAAAAAGGAATTCTATCTTCCCATAGCTGCAATTTGGTGAAAAAGAAATCCTCCACTCTTGCTGTCCTTAAGGGTGCTTCTAAATTCAGGGTATTTAGAGCATACATTGCCTGAGGTATTTATCATTTCTATGTGTTGAGAACATTTCAAGTCCTCTCTTGTAGCTATTTTGAAATATACATTGCATTGTTTGTTCACTAGGGTCACCTTACTCTGCTCTGAATGTTAGAATTTACCACTTCCATCTAACTGTATATTTATGCTCATTAACCAACCTCTCTTCATCAATCCTCAGCAACCCCACACATCCTCCCCAGACTTCTGGTACCTATCATTCTACTCTCTACCTCCACGAGACCAACTTTTTAGCTCCCACATATGAGTGAGAACATGTGGTATCTGTCTTTCTGTGCCTGGCTTATTTCATGCAACATAATGTCCTTCAGTTTCATTTATGTTTCTGCAAATAACATTTCATTCTTTTTTTATGGCTAAATAGTATTCCATTGTGTATACAAACCACATTTTCCTTAACCCTTCATCTGCTGATGGACGCTGATTGATTCCGTATCATGAAATGCTTTTATATCCATGATCATTCATAGCATCAGTGTTGTATTACTACGAAATAATAATGGAGGTGCAAATAGAACCTATGCCAAAAAATCCCAGTAATTCATTTCAATTACTAATATTGAGTGCCTACCACATGTTGCCCCAGGTTCTGTGGGGGATCTTGACCTTGTCCCCTAGGAATTAAAAAATTTAGTGGTGAAGGCAACAGAAGGGTTCCTGCACATTGGCCACCTGAGAGGTACCAGAGGTGAAAACAGAATATACATAAAACTTAAGAGTCAGACTTTGAGTTGTAAGTGATTGTTTGCAGGTACAATCCAGAGATTAAAGGAGTGCCTCTCCTCCTGCAGAATTTACGAAGGTGGAAACAGCACCGCTAATTTGACCTCTTTAGGAACCTGGGAAAGAGCAGTCCCCGGAGGGGTTCCTCTCTTTGCAAATGGTGAGAAAGACCTTCTACAGTACAGTTATGAGCAGAGGAAAAGTTCTTTGTGCAAAAGGGGAAAGCGCCCCGAGGTACAAAGAGCAGATTTAAGGGAAAGAGGATTCGTTTTGCAAGCATCTGCAAGGGGAGCTCAGGCTCACTGTTGGGGGCATCTGGGAAAGGAGATTTTTTAGGGGGCCGCGAGTTATGGGTTCCCGCCTCCACCCCTGTCCGCGCCCCACACTCCGGCAACAGTTGGTCGTGCGGGGCCGGCCCGGGCTCTGGGTGGGGAAGGGGAGTCTCGCGATCGTTGAGGGGGGGTGGAGGAAGGGGGGAGAGTGACGGGGGGAGGCCATGACGTAGGGTGGGTGGACGGAAGTGGGGCAGGGTTGAGGGTTATTTAAAGAAGGGGGGGCCTGAGCGAAGGGTTGGAAGCGGAGTGATTCCCCACCCCTGCTCCATCTAGCTCTTTCCAGTGCAGCCACTGCCGCCGCCCAGGAGCCCTCGTCCCCTGCCTCGTCCCCCTCTTCGTTCCCGCTCCCACGGCATGGAGCAGGACACCGCCGCAGTGGCAGCCACCGTGGCAGCCGCGGATGCGACCGCCACTATCGTGGTCATAGAGGACGAGCAGCCGGGGCCGTCCACCTCTCAGGAGGAGGGAGCGGCCGCCGCGGCCACCGAAGCCACCGCGGCCACGGAGAAGGGCGAGAAGAAGAAGGAGGTAAATAGGAAGGGGGTGTGTGTGTGTGGTGGAGAAATCCTGTGACTGGCCCCTCTGAGGGGCCCAAATCCTGACCTTTCGGCGCCGACAGGTACCCGCGAAGCTCTGCGGGGCTGGGGGCGGCGGGTGCGGGGGTCGGCGGCGGAACCGCCTGGCGTCCGCTCCCCTCCCCCTTTCCTTCTCGCCGCCTGGAGAACGGGGGCGGGGCTGGGCGCGGGCGGGAGCGGCGCGGGGTGGAGGGGTGCCCGCTCTCCGGGGGCCTGGGGGCTCGGGAGCCCCTCGACAGCCCCCCGAACCCCTCCACCTTCCCGGAACTCGGGTAACGGGGTGGGGGATGGGGCCGTGCAGGAAAAAGCCTCCGCCTCTCCCTCTCCTCTCGCTCGCTCGCTCTCCCCCCCCTTCCCGTCGGCCTCTGCCTGGGAAATCTGGGCCCTTCAATCCCACACTCGCGCTAAAGGGGTTTTGCTGGGGCTTCTTTTTGTAATTTGAATTTCAAGGTGCTGCTTTTCGTAATTTGAATTTCGGAGTGGAGGGTGACAGGGAAGACATTTCTTTCTTTCATTGGCAATGTCGGTCTTTTGGATGGCAGGAAAAAAACCATCCCTTGTTCGTTTGAACCCCGCCTGCCGAGGTGGGGGTGTCACCCCGAGGAAAGAAGCTCTCCGCGTCGTCCCCCCCTGCCTCCCCCCCCAAACTGAGGAACCGTGGACGCTGGCTTAGGAAAATTTCCAGCATCTGCACCCTCACCCTCTCCTGCCCCGCCCCCGACGGTATAAGGTTTCACTCCAGGGCCACCCGAATGGTCCCTCAATCCGGCCCCAAGCTTTCCAGGCTTCCGCCTCCCTCTCCTAGTGGGCGCTGCTGGCTCCTGGACACACACAGTTTTTTTTTTTTTTTTTTTTTCCTTTAATTTTTAAAAAACTCAGCGTCGCCAAGATGAGCTGCTTCTAACGTAAGGAAACTGCTCTGACACCTATTAAAGCCAATCCAGAAAATGTGTATGATCTCCATAAGGCATATTTCGTGTGGACTGAGACATGCAAATAAAACTATAAAACACTGAAAAATTGACATAAAAATAGGATGTATGATAAAATTGCATAACTAATCGTTTATGGGTGGATTTTTTTCTCATTTACGAGTAGTCATCGCAATTTTAAAAAGGTGGGCAATTATGCTTTAGAGATCTCAAGTGGCTTTGTCTGAATCATTATATTATACTATACGACCAAATGAAAAGCTTTTGAGGAAAATTAACACCTTTCGCCTAAATGAGAAGAGCAATTTTAAATTTAGCAGTTGCTTATGTGACATATTTTACTGCTACAAGGTTGACTAAACAGAAGGACAATTGTAGTGCTAAATGAAAACCGTAGAAAACATATGCATTGTAAGATCTACGCGGTACTTGGATTAGTAAGACAATATTGTTGATTAAAACTGGGCATAATACCAAGCATCAATATGAATCAAATGTTGGGAAATTCGGAAACGTCTATGTGCCTTTTATTCCCTAGACTAGGCAAATGTGAGTGCCAAACTGCCTTTTGTATGGCAGGAAAGGTTGTCGAGTTTCCAGATTGTATGAATTTCTGAATTTTGTATAAAATTTTGAATGGTGAAAAAACGAGGGACCAATAAAATAACCCATATAATAAACACTGAGTTGGTACCTATATATTTGTCAGCTCTGTTGCCTCATCAGAAATTGCCCTACCAGTTCTTCATTTGTCCACCCAGGATAGGGAAATGTGGTGCTGTATGTCAGGAACTTCCTGGATATCTGAAGTTTGTTTTAGCCACTGCATAATTTTTATTTTTAATTTTTCCTTAAAAATTGGATTATATACTACCTTGGCACTTTAAATTGTGTACTAAAAGTGCAGATTAACCGCTTCTTCATGGCCATCAGTTAGTGCACTCTGGACAGTGACACAAAGGCACTTGAAATCCCACAGGTTGTTCCTTCTCAGTTAAGTAACCACCTCCCAGACTCTTCCAGTATTGTGTTTATGTTTTAACATAATTTATCTGGCTGGGCGCAGTGGCTCACACCTGTAATGCCAGCACTTTGGGAGGCCAAGGCGGGTAGATCACTTCAGGTCAGGAGTTCAAAACCAGCCTGGCAAACATGGTGAAACACTGAAACACCGTCTCTACTAAAAATAAAAAAAAAAAAATTAAAAAAAAAAAATAGCTGGGCATGGTAGTGGGTGCCAATAATCCCAGCTACTCGGGAGGCTGAGGCAGGAGAATTGCTTGAACCCAGAAGGTAGAAAAAAATTATTTATTTTTTTGAGATGGAGTCTTGCTCTGTTACCCAGGCTGGCTGGAGTGCAGTGGCGCGATCTCAGCTCACTGCAACCTCCGCCTCTTGAGTGCAAGCGATTTTCTTTCCTCAGCCTCCTGAGTAGTTGGGATTACAGGAGCCTGCCACCATGCCCAGCTAATTTTTGTATTTTTAGTAGAGACAGGGTTTCACCGTATTGGCCAGTCTGCTTTCAAACTCCTGACCTCGTGATCTGCCTACCTCGGCCTCCCAATGTGCTGAGATTACAGGCGTGAGCCACCGAGCCTGGCCAGCTATCACTGTTTCTGGTTTCACCAGAAAGAATATGTTAGTTTATGATAAAGAATGTAAGTGTAACAAAACCATAAACTCATTTAAAAATAACTGTAAAATACAAAAGTGTCAGTGATAAAGCGATAAAGAAGGGAGAGGGAAATAACACGTGCACACCAAGGATCAGGGAAGCTACTGCAGTGGAAGACACATTTTTGTTCTGGATTTCTGCTGTGGCTTCTTGTAGAGCGCCTTCCTCTAGTGATCTTTCCCATGTTATTTACTGTTGCTTGTATTCTCGGTGACATGGGAAGCCAGTTTATTAAACTTGGTAGAATTGTCTACCAAATTAAAAAAAAAATAGGTTTCTGAACGAGAGTGCTTTCATGTTGTATACAGTAGATGAGATTTAGTGAATTCACCTATGACATTCACCTACTCAGAGGTATTTCTGCCTGCCTACTGGTTGTTGAGCTTACTTGGTTTAAGTGACGGTTGGATTACCCAACACTAGAAATTGGAGATGGTATCTTTGGGAATAAAAACGTCAAGAAAAATGTCATGGTCTTTAAAATAAGCCATTTTGCTGACCTTGTGCTGCATTCTCATGGCACCCAGACTCAGATAACAAAATCCAAAGGAATTCATTAGAGTGTCTTAGTCACCCTTGATCTTTACTTGTATGGAAAAATATAGTTTTGAGAATACACATACACACACACATAAACAAATGAGGTTTAGAAGGTAGGTATTTTAAAATTTGTTGTGGAAGATAGTGCCAATTAAGTACCCACAGCTTTTAATAGCACTGCTCAAGATTAGGAATTTTAATTAGCATATAATTAGATTTTGATGGTAGTCTACCGCAAGGTAAGCAAAAAAGTAATGAGTAAAATGTTTTTCTAGGATTAAAGCTTTAATTTTCTGTAAGTGTACTTCCCACATTATTATATATGCTTATGAATATAAGGCAAAGTAATTTTCAGTATTTTGAAACCGGAAAACTGGATTTCATATAGCCTTTCAAGGAATGAAAGATAAAGATACGGATTTTGATACTCAATATTTCTTGTTGCTTAGAAAGTGAATATGATTTATGTTATACATGGCAGCTTCAAAGTGTGAGTTTGAGGGGAGATTTAGCAGTTTTCTATCTCATCCATCCGGGATTACATTCAAAGCATTCCACATAGATATGTACGTATCAGATGCTGTAAATCAAGATATCTGGTCAGTGCTACAAAGTAAGAGTCTGGACAAGGTCAAATTTCATAATCTCAGTTTGGATTTCCTCAAAATAGAAATTTTAGTAGATGTCGAAAGACATAAAGGGGCCATATTTTTCTTATGTTTAAGGTCACATTCTGTTGATTTTTGACCCAAGTTTTCAGAAACTGGTTGACAAAAGCCATGATAGTTTTCACAAACAAATTTGTGTATTCACTTATGCAAAGTCATCTGTGTTAAAAATGAGATAGTCTTCGGTTCTGATGGGTAGATTTGTGTTTTTATTATTTTATATCTTGGTTACTTATAGGGAAAGAGGCTTATTCTATATATGTATTTATATTTGCCGGTACAAGCTTGTCTTTACAAAGGATAGGGTGCATGAGATAAACCCTTTCCCCAGGTAATTTCTGTATTAAGTTACTGATTGATGTTAGTTTTTGCTAAATCACGGTTTAAAAATATCAAACATTAATAGTTAATAGCCTTGACAAGTTACTTCTACAGAATATTTATGCAATATAAAGTAATTTTCTTTCCAGTTAGAGAAAATTAACATAAGCTAAAAGTTTAAAACTACTATTAAATTATTTTAAGTATATGTGATCACATTGCATTACATAAAAAATTAAATATTCTTATACTATGAAAACAATTTGAAAAGTATTGTTTTAGGAACAGAAACCACAGTTTTTCTTCTGAAAGTGTGGCCTATTTCCATGACATAAAGGAGTGTTTCTGAGAATTAATATTTTTTTTTTATTTCTTTTGTTTGTGGTTATTCTAGATTTTAAAATATCTTATTTAATTTTGCACATTTTCTTACACTATATAAATTAAAGAGTGGATGAGAAAGCTCAGTGTTTCACCTTTTGGGTTTTATTCCAACTAATATTTCTCTGGCAGTCATGATTTTTCAGAATTTTTTTTTTATTGGACCTCAGGTGTACAGAACTGGATTAATCATAAGCCTTGCTTCGTGACATGCTCTCTCATCATCGGTCCATGCATGTCCCACATTGATTTATATATTTAGTCATATAATTACTTTTCGTCTTCTTCTAATGAGAACATTGACCAATTTAAGAACCTTGTTTTGCAATTTGATGACATTTATTTTCTTTGAAATTCTAGAAAAACGTTTCTTCTTTTCAACTCAAACTTGCTGCTAAAGCGCCTAAATCTGAAAAGGAAATGGACCCAGAATATGAAGAGAAAATGGTAAATGTACTCTTGGATAGGACAGTGAATTCTGTAGTTAATTTTGATAGTTGAGATGTTAAAGGTGAAAAATACATGTGTATATACAATGCATGGAGAATCATCGATTTTAGAATTGGAAAGTAATTTAATATACACTCTATCATAATATTTTTGTTGAGTAAATTAACCTGCTCATTTTCAGATGAGGAAATAAAGGATCTGGGAAGCTATATGTAATAGTTGAGACTAGAAGTCACATCTCATTTTTGTTCAGTGCTGTCTGTTCCATAATAAAGTGCTTTAAGATAGAAATATTTTATTTACTAGATGAAAATATCAGTGGCAATACCGTTGTGGCTTTGTGACATAAGAGAAATCCAATCACAAAGCCAGACTGACATATCTTTCTTTCTCCTTCTTTGGACATACGAATAAATGCTATACGTTAATGAAACATGTAATATATCAGTACACTTTCTTGAGGGAAGAATATTTGTCCAGTGAATGAAAATATCACATAATGAAGCAGCATAATCTTCATTCATATTATATTCATATATTGCTTGCTATAATACATTAAATTATTTAATTTTTAGTCACTAAAATCCATATTTTAGCTTTAATTTTAACTAAACTCTTATAGCTTTGGATCTTTCAAGAATTTAACAGGTGGTTGAAATTTTTTTTTTTCTCTGAGGGGTTGTTTTTACAGTAATATAAAAATCAGTAGAGATGAAATACATTTTTTGGTTGTGGATAGCTATTTTATAAGACTCCATGCCTTAATGTTTAAGGCCACATCTAATGTATATAGGCAATGTTTTAACAACTCTAAAAATAGCATTCCAGTGAGGATAACATAAAATGGAAAGTTTTTGGCCTCCTTCCAGCTTGTGGTCTGAATTTATCTAACTTATATTTATGTTAATGAACTCTTCTGTATATTTTTTGGGTTATTAATTATGCATCCTTCGTTAGCAATCAGGTATTCTCTACTCTGTGATTGGAAAGTGACTTTGAATAAATAAATAGTCTTTATTTTTCCTTTATCTAGAATGATGTATATATCTTTTGATCTTTTAAGATTTTTTAGTGAAACAAAGTTTTATTGCCTGTATATGGTACACGTTCCATGACCTTTTACAGTTTATTGAGAAATTAGAATACACATCAACTTTTAATAGTTAATATATATTAACTATTTTGTGTATATTTATATATTTTTCCCAAATTCTGCTTACTTTGGGGAGAAACTTCATATGCTACTAGCATAAATTATAGTTTTCTAGATCCCTGTGGTTGAAGAGCGGAATGTTTATTACATTATTATACCATGACATTGAAAATATTTTAAGACAAGATGATATTGTATTTAAAAATTTAAGTTATTTCTGGATATAACTTGAAAATTCTTAAGAGTTCTGTTTATGGTATGTATATCATAGTTAATTTTTATTTCAGTATTTGGGATATGTTGTATATTTGATGCTTAAATTTGTTAGTATTTAACAAAATTAAAAAATGGTTTGGAAAGAAGATTTGGTTTATGATTATGACTCTTTAAGAAGGGTATTTCTCCTTTTTCTTGGGTGCTGGTGAGAAAAATAAAAAAGGAAAAGAAAAAAAAAAAAAGAAGAAGGGTATTTCTTATTGGGGAATTTACAGCCCGTCAGATCATTTGGCTTCTGTTCAAATTATTTGAAAATACATTTTAAAATTCCGCTGCTTATTAGCTGTGCAACCTTGGGTAAATTACTTACCCTCTCTGTGCCTCAGTATCATGTAATTACCGTGGAGATGATACTTGTAACTATGTTATAGGTTTTTAAAGAGAATTTAATGGATTATGTTTCAAGTGCTAAGAATGTTGTTCACAGTAAATGCAATGCAAGTATTTGTTAAGTAACTTTGAAGGAGTACAAAGGAAAGTCCTTACTTTTTCTTTTGTTTTGCAAATTAGAAAGCCAACCGAGCAAAGAGATTTGAATTTTTACTGAAGCAGACAGAACTATTTGCACATTTCATTCAGCCTTCAGCACAGAAATCTCCAACATCTCCACTGAACATGAAATTAGGACGTCCTCGAATAAAGAAAGATGAAAAGCAGAGCTTAATTTCTGCTGGAGAGTATGTTGGCACCTCTCTCTCTACTTTCTTCCCTTTCTCCTGCCTTTTCTTCCTCCTGTCCTCCCTTGCACTCCTTCCCTCTTCATTGTTCAGTATAACTTCATGTGATGAAAGATAAGATTATTGCCATTATAATTATGTTTTGAAGGCAACTATATTTTTTTCTCACTAGAAGCTGATCGTACAAATGTAGGCTGGTTCAACCGATTTCTAAGTAAGACCTTGGACAACTCATTCTTTTTTTTTTTTTTTTTTTTTTTTGGAGACGGAGTCTTGCTTTGTCACCAGGCTGGAGTGGAGTGATACAATTTCAGCTCATTGCAACCTCCACTTGCTGGATTCAAGTGATTCCCCTGCCTTCAGCCTCCTGAGTAGCTGGGACTATAGGCGTGCACTACCACACACAGCTAATTTTTTGTATTTTTAGTAGAGATGGGGTTTCACCATGCTGGCCAGGATGGTCTCGATTTCTTGACCTTGTGATCTGCCCGCCTTGGCCTCCCAAAGTGCTGGGATTACAGGCGTGAGCCGCTCATTCTTTTTCTATAAAAGATAATAGCCATGTACACTGATTTAATTGATACCTCCGTGTTTGGGTAGAATGTGAAGGGATTTCTTTATTTTATTTCAGCTACCGCCACAGGCGCACAGAGCAAGAAGAAGATGAAGAGCTACTGTCGGAGAGTCGGAAAACATCTAATGTGTGTATTAGGTTTGAGGTGTCACCTTCATGTAAGTACTTCATCACATTGGTGAGTTCTTTTTCAATTTGCTTTTAGAAAAATTTTACGTGAGTGTATTAATGAAAGTGTAAAACATCCTTGCATTTTTTTTCCCCAGATGTGAAAGGGGGGCCACTGAGAGATTATCAGATTCGAGGACTGAACTGGTTGATCTCTTTATATGAAAATGGAGTCAATGGCATTTTGGCTGATGAAATGGTAAGGAATTGGTAGCTAAAAATACATTCTCAGTTATCAGTGATTTTTATGTAAATTTGAAAAACCTGAGCTTACCCACCCCCCAATGCCTGGAGGCTTTTTTAAAGTTGTTAAAATGTAAAAGATATTTTGTAGTCTTAGAATTATCATTATTTTTTTGAGAGAGTGTCTCTGTGTGCCACCCAGGCTGGAGTGCAGTTGTGCAATCTTGGCTCACGGCACCCTTGACTTGCTGGGTTCAAGTGATCCTCCTGCCTCAGCCTCCTGAGTAGCTAGGACTCCAGGCACATGCTTACCACACTGGGCTAATTTTTATTTTTAGTTTTAGTAGAGGCAGGTCTCGCGATGTTGCCCAGACTGATTTTGAATGCCTGGACTCAAGCAGTCCTCCCACCTCGGCCTCCCAAAGTATTCGGATTACAGATGTGAGCCACAGCACCTGGCTAGAATTGTTTCATTAAGTAACTTTTGGAACATAGACTTTCACAGGCCGTAAAATTCTTAACTGAGCTTTCCTCAAATGGTCCAAAAACCTTCCCTGTACTTTTGTTTTTGTTTGCAGTTTGGCTTCCAGGAAGCACAGAGTCAAGATGAATACCCAAATGGAGCCTTTATGTAACCTTTAATGGTCTCCCCGTGTGTACTTCTGTGTTTCCTGTTTTTTATCTGCTCGTCTTTCTTACTTTCCTTTCCTTATTTTCTCTTTATTTCTATTTTGCCATTAATTTATGTTCCATGTTTTCATTGTAGGCTACCTGATCCTTTTGAGAATGAGGTGGGGTATACAAACTGAACAATATATAAATGACTGAATATATGCATGCATGAATGAATATAAATATTTCGACTTGTGAACAATCAAAAAGTGCATAGATGGAATAAGGAACAAATAAAGAGTAATGTTGAATCTTGATACAGTACAGTGCATGGTGGGGCTTTAGAAATCAGTGAAGGAATTATACATGTGTAAATAAAATAACAGGAAAAAGTAAGGCCACATAAGATGCTAATTCAGCAGCTAAAAAGGGAGTATATGAAGGCCTGTATCTGTGTTTTAAGACCAAATTAATAAAATGGGATTTAAGAGAGGCCAGGGAAAGTTCTAAATCCATATAACTCAATGATACTCGTCTTTATATGACTCTGAAACCATACTTGTAATCACCGTTATCCAGAAGAGCCACATGATGTGTGCCCTACGGCGTCTAGTATAGTTGGTAGTCAGTCGCGTAAGTACTCATCCTACTCATCCCTGGTTGAGCGACTGTTAAGTGTGTGGCAGAGGATCCCTTAAAGCAAGGGTCTGTAGCTCCTTATATTTAGGTGTTATGTTTTAAAGACCGGTCAGCTCAGAGGGGGAGGAGTTTGGTTAATTGGACAACAGAAGGACCAGGATTATTTGCCCCAAGCAGCTCTTGCTGCAGCCTGTCTAAACATGAAAGACCTAAAGACTTTTAGTTATGAATTTATGCTCATACTAGCTATGTTTGTTTTTTGTGAGAGGGAGTTTTGCTCTTGTTGCTCAGGCTGGAGTGCAATGGCGTGATCTCAGCTCACTGCAACCTCTGCCTCTTGGGTTAAAGCGATTCTCCTTTCTCCACCTCTCAAGTAGCTGTAGCTGGGATTGCAGGCCCTCACCACCACGCCTGGCTGATTTTGTATTTTTAGTAGAGATGGTGCTTCGCCATATTGATCAGGCTGGTCTCAAATTCCTGACTTCAGGTGATCCACTCGCCTCAGTGTCACAAAGTGCTGGATATACAGGAGTGAGCCACTGCTCCCGGCCGGTACCAGATATGTTTTAATTACTAAAAAATAGAAAGACACTTTAAGGATTATAGAAAATTTGAAATAAAAAAATAAAAAAATAAAAATTATAATTCTGCTACTTAAAAGTAACCACAGCTAACATTTCGGCACATTTCTTTGTAATCTTTTTCTTCTGGATATACTTATTTTGTATAGTTGAAATCATATTGTATATATAATTAGCCATTCTGATTTATTTACATTCATACATATTTTCCATGTAATTAAGACATTTTGTGAACATAATTAATTATTGCATAATAATCCTTGGGAGGTACCATAATTTTATTCACCTTCCCTCTTATTTTTATTCATTTGGATTGCCTGATGTATAGTATAAATAATGCCACTATAAGGATCTTGTAATTTAGCTTTTCTGTACCTCTCAGATTATTTCCAAAGAATTCCTAGAAGTAGAATTACTTGGTTAAGGAGTATAAACATTTTAAGGTTTTGATGTATAGCACTCATAAAAGTTGTCTTATTAAGTGACATATCAGATAGGATACAATGTAAAAAAATAGATATACTCATACATTTATAAAAAGAAGTGTATATCTTGCTCAGAGATAAAACCAAAAGCAGTTTTAAGAGACCAAAAAGACTTAGTTCCCTTTCTCATGGGATAGTATGGGTTCATGGATATTGAATATATTATTATTATTATTTTATTTTAAAAATGTTTTTGTTTCTCATCAAGACTACTTCCAAAATATATTATTTTTTAAAAAGTCCTCTGGAGTTGGTGAGCTCTCTAAGGTTCTTTCTGGCTGCAAACTTCTGTTCTTTTGTGGTTCCTAAGGTTTTTTAAGAGTGTGAGATGCAAGTACAGAACCACAAGCCCTGTGAGACACATAGTCTGAATATTTAATGTTTGGGTTGTAATAATGTTAGGAACAATAGGAAAGAAAGACCCGTATCTAAGCAGGCTGGCAAAGGAAGCATGTCTTTGTAAAACAAACACACAGAAAATTCCTAACTTTGGAACAAGTAGAAAAATTATATAGTAGATTGCTTGCTCCTTTAGGAGTAAAAATGTTCTAATTAGGAAGTTGCTTTGTTGAGCAACATTCCGGCTTCGAGGTCTTGGTTTCTTTTTGTGCTCACCATAAGTACGATACCAAATTAGAATGATTTGATTATCTTCTTAAAAAAGAGTATTTTTACTTTTAATTAGTAGAAACCTAATTGCCTTTTCGAGATAGTGGACAAAGATCTTTTGTCATGTTGTTGCTAACAAAATGTTTCCTTACAGAAAAAATGCTCATGGACTTTTTTCCTTGTGATGATAATGCAGGGTCTTGGGAAAACTTTACAAACAATTGCTTTGCTTGGTTACCTGAAACACTACCGAAATATTCCTGGACCTCACATGGTATTAGTTCCAAAGTCTACTTTACACAACTGGATGAATGAATTTAAACGATGGGTCCCATCTCTCCGGGTCATTTGTTTTGTCGGAGACAAGGATGCCAGAGTAAGTGAGAAACAAGTGTAAAAAGGCAGTCAAGAATAACATCATTTCTGGAGTTTAGTTACATATTATTGCTGTTAAGGAGATCTGAGTTGCCTACTACTAAATAACACCAAAGTTGTGCATACTCTAAGCTAGACTCCGTTGTAAGTGCTTTGCATCTATTAATTTAATTCTCACAACACTCCCATGAGGTAGGTGTATTACCTATTAATAATAGTCCATTATTATGCTTTATCTACGTTTGCTTTAACTAGTTCATTAAACTAAGCAGTTTTGAATTGTACTTTGAGTGACTTTTTATTAAAAACATCTTATTTAATTGACAATATATCTTACCAGTGACTCTCATTTGTGCTATTTTGAAGCAACAATGTATAAATTTGCATGACTTAAAATTTTATATTTAAGTTTTTGACTTTTGACTTGGTATAAACACACACATATATATATATACGCAACTGGAACCCCTTCTATATGTACAGAGTGCCTTGTGTTTTGTGTTTATGCATAGACACAGCTTTTAGTTTTGGTCTTTGAATAGAAAAATACATGTCTGTGTATATTCTTAGGTAATATTAGAAACCCTGGGCATTTTTGGGGGTGGGGTTTTAAATTAACCATTTGTCATTTTAGTAGGCTACAATGATTTTAGGACTGTAGAATTAATCTAAAAATACTAAATTATGCAAAAATACTACAACAAATAACCAGCTTAGAAAGCATATTATTAAACTTTGTTTTTATTTTGCCTCCAGAGAACATAGTTTAGAGATTTATTCTGTTTTTTATATTTGGTTAGGTTATCAAAAGATATCCTCAAAAGAATGGTAGCATAATGAATTATGGCATTTTATCCTCATCATTTTGCTTGAAGAAAAATTACTTAAATTTAACATATAAATCATTTTAATATTGAAATACTGAGCTCATAAATTTACAATTACAGGCCAGGTTCTTCCCTATGTCTAATATTTCCGCAAAGCAAATTAGTCACTTAGAACCCTTTCTGGTCATCGCTGTTATCTAATGTAATATTATTCCATATAAACTTTGCATTTCTAAAGTATTGAGCTTTTGCTAAAATTATTTCTTAAAGATTAAAAGCAAAAGATAAATATCTAGGTTTGTGTTTTCATAACATCTCAGTAAGAATGTAAATCTATGGCTTTCAGCTATTTTATATGAAATCTAAGGGTTTTATGAAATATCTTTGGGAGTTTTAAAGAATGAGTGGATATATTTAATTTATGACTGCTGTAGCTCTGCTTCATGAGGAGGTTAGGATGCTGGTGACTTGAAAAATTTGTTTGTTTCTTTTACCAGAGACAGGGTCTCGCTCTGTCGCCCAGGCTGGCATGCAGTGATGCGATTATAGCTCACTGCAACATTGAACTCCTGGGCTCAAGTGATCCTCCGCCTCTGCTTTCTGAGTTGCTGGGACTACAAGTGTGCACCACTGTGCCTGGCTTGGAAAAATTTCTTAATCTTGAAAACCAGTCTTCAAAGTCAGTGTTTTTCTTTTGTTTTTTTTTTTTTTT